TGACTGTTTGTGGGACATTGCTGTGCGCAATTGGCTGCCGCGTTCGCCCACAAATATACAGTCAATTCACTTTAGAGTGTGTTCTGTGAAGCGCTTTGGGATGTCCTCCCGACGTGAAAAGCGCTATATCAAATCATATTATTAATAATAATCCTTCCATTTGATATAGCGCCTTATCACGTCTTCAAGACGTCTCTAAGCGCTTCACAGAATATACTGTAAAGTGAACTGACTGTAGATTTAGTGGACGAAATACAAGTACAACTCAAACCTAGATTAGCATGCAATGACTACGTGAGCTCTACAGTATTTTGTTATGGAGTTGAAAGGGTGGAAAATAATAATCATAATAATAATTTTATTTGGGGATTTTGCGCCAGGACACCGTGAGAAACCCCCTTTCTCTATGTCGCAAAATAGTCACAGATTCACTGTAATTTGGTAGGACATGGAAACTTAACTGCTTCAGGCAACTGCAAACCCAGGTCACAATGATCTGCAGTTCACACTAAATAATATTTGGTGAGAAGTGAGACCAATTGTTCAGTATTGTTCCAAGCAGGTTTGCACTTGGAATTGAATGGAAACAAGGCAAGGTATTACAGAGAGATGATGGAACAAAACAGAAGGATGTGGTGATGGTGGTGGTTAGAACAGGTTTAATACTCCAAAGGAACAGGTGGCATCAGTGGGAATCGACCACCATTGGAAAACAAGAACGCAATTGTGGTAACTGCTTGTGGTTACATTCAGTGAGGTGTTAAAATACCTAACTGTGTTTAGCTTCAGGCATTTGCATGTTGATTAGAGCCGAGGGTTAGAGTAATTAACTAACTATTTCACCCACAAAATATACAGTCAATTCACTTTACAGTATATTCTGTGAAGCACTTTGAGATGTCTCAATGACGTTCTAAGGTGCTATATCAAATGCAAGGATTATTATTATTATTAGGTCAGTCCTCACAAACTAAGGACTCAATGTCAGGGTGAAACACAACATTTTGAAATTGTTATTTTGTAACTTAGATCATTTCTGTGAACAAAGTTCTGACGAAACCAGTTCTGACAAAAGATCATCAACCTGAAACTTGCCTCTCTTCACAGATGCTGCCTGACCGGTTGGGTGTTCCCAGCGACTTCTCTTATTTATTTCAGATTTACAGCATCTGCAGTATTTCGCCTTTCATTTCTACAAACTTTGATCACCAGTTTATTCAACTTCCAGAAAAAAGAGAAAATAAAAAAGAGTAAATCTTTAAACGGACAGATATTTTGACGTGGAAACGTTTAAGATTCGAGGTAGATTTCAGGCATGTCATGGCTAGTTTGATTTCACTCAATGAAAGATTGTCGAAAACCATTTTCTAACATGGCTGCTCTGCAACCAACTATAGACATTTCAAAATACAAAATACACTGTTTAAATTAAAAACTATATATTTATCATGGTTACAAAGGTGTCCTATTTGAATCACTCCAACGGCAGATAAAGCCTATTCAAGGACATTAAGCACAAAGACCTGCATTTCTAATAGTAATCCTGGCATGTGATGTCACGCTTTTCATATCAAAAGGACATCTCAATGCTCTTCACAGGATTTACTCTGAAATGTAGTGACTGCATTTGCCGGAGACTGTGCAGTTTTAAATGCATTGATATCATCCCTCATGAAAGTGTCAACATAACATTTCAATAGATAATCAATCTGTAATGATATTGCAACACATAGCTTCACCTCAGAGCTTTTCCGCAAAGGAGGGAAGGAGGGAAAAGATGTAACGTGTGAGGAACAGTATTTGCACGCATCTCTCACAGCTGTGCTTACGCGATTCCTTGCGTAATAACATTCCATTTCTTCTCTTGAGAGAGTAGTGACTGGAAATCGATGCTCGAACAATGTCAGATGGTTAACTTGCATCGATCAGGTTTCCTCACAGCTGACTGGACTAGAGAGCTTACCTTAAACGGCTAAATGAAAATTGCTAAATAAAAAAAATTGTTGAAAGGTTTCTGGTTGCACTAAATTAATTATTTCATATACATTGTATATATATATATACACATTATATACACATTCACAGAGACACAGTGTATATATGTATCAATTCTTATATTCAGTCAAGTAAAAAGAAACTGACAATATTCAAAAACACATTTACAAAGTTCACCTATAAATACACAGTAAAATTCCTGTGAAATGCTTTGAAATGTCACTGTCATAAGCTGCTATATTGAATGCAAGATTATAATGCTTTGTATCACAACAATAACTTGCATTTACATAGTGCCCTTCGAGCAGGATAGTGTCTCGGAGCGCTATTGGGGTCATAAAAGTGTTACAAAAATCAAAGAGGATGCATTATAGGTTTTGAATATCAGCATCGTCACTAAGATTCGGATAAAAGGCAAGAGCTGGCAAGTGAATTCTGTGTAGCTTGCTGGTGACAACACTGAGAATTACTATTTACAATGGAATGAGGAAGTATCCTGGTCTGAAAGTCAAATAAAGATGTGAAAAACCATCAGAGGGTTTTGGTCAGAACATACACACACGCGTGTATGTGTGAGCAAATCACTGAGCTTTGCAATGCTAATGGAAAGTAACCTGAGTGAATATAATAATAATAATCCTTGCAATTGATATAGCGCCTTATCACTTTTTCTAGACGTCTCAAAGCGCTTCACAGAATAGACTGTAAAATGAATTGACCGTAAATTTTGTGGGTGAAATGCAGCAGCCAATTGAATCTATAATAATCACCCTTGCATTTGATATAGTGTCTTATTACAAATGAAAGATTTAATAAATAGATGCTACGGGAAAGCTTTTCATTAGGTGCCCTTGATTCACTGCATATATTTATATTTTCTCCAATACATACATGAACACCCCCTCCCCACACACACACACGCACGCAGGTGCACACACAAACGATAATGATAATAATAATAATCTTTGCATTTGATATAGCGCTTTTCACGTCGGGAGGACGTCCCAAAGCGCTTCACAGAACACACTGTAAAGTGAATTGACTGTATATTTGTGGGCGAACGCGGCAGCCAATTGCGCACAGCAATGTCCCATAAACAGTCGTAGATTGAAAATGACCAATTTTTACTATTGTTTTTGGTTTTTGGAGGGATTATTATTAGGCTCTGTGTGGAGTAAGGAAACTTGCCCAAGGATTCGCCCTCTGCCTGGAATGGAACTCAGGTCTCTCGCTTGCAAAGCGAGTGCTCTAACCACTGAGCTACAGGACTCCACAAAAGGATGTGGGTGCTCGATCCGTTCACATTTTCAAGACTGAGGTGGATAGATATTTGTTGGATCAGGGTTTCAAGGGATATGGGGCAAGGACAGGTAATTGGAGTTGAGGTACAGATCAGCCATGATCTTATAGAATAGTGGAACAGGCTTGAAGGGCTGAATGGCCTCCTCCTGTTTTTATGTTTCTTTCTATACACACACACACACACACACACACACAGAGTGAATGCAGGTGCACAGAAAACATTCAGGATAATGGATATTACTAAACCTCCAGACTCAGGGATTCATGAAAACATCTTTTAATCCCCACCAATAAATCTGCTCAGGATTCAGCTGCCAAAAAAGAAAGGCATTCGGCAAAAAAAGGCAATCACATTATTCGTTTAAAAAGTTCTTCACTTTCTAAAACAAAGCGCCAGGAAAGAACATTTGATTTTTTTTTAAAAAAAGGCAACTACAGGTAAACTTTATTAATATTTCTCTCAGGTGAAAGGAAAGCTTGCTGGGAAATAGAGCACGTTGTTTCGATTTTTCCACTCAGTCTTATCAACAATAACTAAGCACCGGTTTCCTCTTCCTACTATGCTTTATTGGCAGCAACTCCTTACCCACAAACTCCACACATTGAGTCTATTAAACTAGAGGAGGGGTCAAAGATCAACTAATTCACCACAGTGCAATGAACCAACCCTGTCCTGTTCTGTACTTACTGTATAATACGTAATAATAATAATAATAATCCTCGCATTTGATGTAGCACCTTATTAAACTGTTGAGACACCTCCAAGCGCTTCACAGAATACACTGTAAAGTGAATTGACTGTATATATTTTGTGGACGAATAGATAAGAAGAAATCAGTTCAATTGGCTGCCAATGTTCGACTTTAAAATCCTCACACTCGTGTTCAAATCCATTCACTCCCTGGCACCTCCCAACCTCACCGACCCCCGCACTCCCCACACCGCTCGATCCGCCTGAAAACCTTCCTCTTCGACCGTGCTTACGCTCGCCTCCCCACCAGCCCACCAGCCCCACCAGCTCAGAGTCAGGCTCCGCCACTGTTAATCACTCTGAGATGCCAGCCTGCGTAGAGGGTGCTATATAGTTCAAGTTGTTGTTGTGTTGTGTTGTTGTGAGGAACCATAAGTAGGAACGGCCACTTACACAAAGTTGGAGGAGGGGGAAGTGAAAGGTTAGTGCTGATCTGTGGGGGAGGAATACACATTACGAGAGGTCATTGATTCAATGCGCTACCAGGGCAGCCTTAGAACATCAAGCACCCTCAGATCAGATATAACGCAGGCTAAAACACTGCAGTCCTAAATTTCGCTTTTTTTAAAAATATATTGTAACGAGTGAAAATACCGTCGTATACATCCCACGCAAAAGGTGCTTTAAAAGCAAGTGTTTGTGTGTGTGTGTGTGTGTTAGGGGGTGGGGGTGGGGGGGAGAATGAATGTCGCACAACAGATTTTGTGTAATTATCACATTAAATCATTTCTGAAGAATCAACACACGTACACACACCCTGCACCGCTTAAATAAAAGGTGACCGCAAACATGGTCGAGAAGGAAGGTCTATAAGCGGGGATGCAGAGTAGGGGTTTGAGGCGCGGGGGAGGGCGGGGGGGGGGGGGGGGGGGAGAGAGACTTCTGAAGCTTCAATATCAATATTCCAAATCAAACATTAAACGTTCAGTAAATATTGCTATGAACAACTCACCCAGCCTTCGAAAGTGGTGGTGCCATTTTTCAGCAGGTCCTCAAACTGCAAGGTGGAATGAGCTACAAAGTCATCGTAGCCAATGGGGGTGTCGTGAAAGACGGCCAACTCCAGCTCACTGCTCTTGCAGATCTCAGTGTTGAAGTCCTCGTTAAACGTGGGCTTGTTGGTTTTCTGTTTGGTCAGGGTCTGTCCGATCCGCCGGTTGTCCACTTTGACGATCACGTAAGGATCCAGGAGTTGGTAGTTTTTGCTGGAGATGGAATGTCTCAAGGCACATCGTGTTGGCTTCAAGCCCACCGCCTCCCCGATCTTCACTTTCAAAGACCCACTGAACACCACCATTCTGGTCTCGGGGGCCGGCGGGCGCCGGGGGGGGCCGGGGGGGGGGCCGGCCGGGGGGAGAAGGTTGAGGGTTGCAAAATTCCGCTCCAATTTACAACCTCTGGTTTTCAAAGGGATTTTTTCCTGTGCTGTGTGCGTGTGTGTGTGTGTGTGTTATGTGTATGTTGTGTGTGAGGTTCACACAGGTGTTGCTGTGCTCTGTATTATTGTAGGGTTGGTCTATGCTCCTCCCCACACACACACACACACACACACACAGATGAGACAGTTGAGCCAAAAACCTGGTCAAAAGGAAGTTAAAAAGAACCTTTTTAAAAATATATATATACATATACTGCATATAAAAGAACATTGCACTCAATATGCATTTATATAAAAAAAACACTCATCAGATTGCACATCACCTGTTAAATGTAGGAATACATTTGGCTCAAAAGACCTTTTTTTGGGGGGGGTTTTACCCCAAAATTGTGGGTCTTAACCCCCTCCTCCCCCCAAAAAAGAGAGAGAATGCTAAACATTGCAGGTGTTTAGAAAACAAGTCCAGATGTTGTGTGAACAACAGCAAAAGCTCTCTCTCTCTCTCTCTCTCTGGTGAAGGCTCTCAGTTCCTCTCTCCCCCACTTGTAACACACAACAACAACAACAACAACAACAACCACCACCAAACAAAAATATAACGAGGACTTTTCAGGTGGAAAACGGAAATGAAATGGAAGACCCAGTGAAGGGGGTTTTGAGAGCTGCACTCACTGCTCTGGGAGTTTTGATGCCACTCTGTCACCAAAACTTCTCCTCCTCCTCCTCCTCCTCTGTGTGGTGTCGTGTCTGCGACTGTGTGGACGTTGGAGATGGTGAACAGTGCTGTGGATTTGCGCGCAGTCCTCTCTCTCTCTCTCTCTCTCTCTGTGTGTGTGAGTGTGTGAGTGTGTGAAACAAAAACCAGGAAGCGATCAAACGTCAAGTTTCCGCATCCACTTGTCACTGAGTTTCGACTGCGATCCCCTCCACAAAAAAAAAGGATTCCCTCTTTCCCCCTAAAACACCACCAAAACCCCCCCACACACTCCCCCTTTACCACAAGAGCTGCTCTCACCATCACAAGAGGGTGTGTGTGTGTGTGTGTGTGTGGAACAGTCCCCCTTCACCCCCCACAGGTACACGTCCCCTCTGATGTCTTTTCCCCCTTTTTTTTTTCTCCCCCAAAATAAGGTCTGTTTTGTTGCCACCGCTTTCTGGGGTTTGTAGTCCTTATTTTCTGGGCGTTTTTGGGACACATTGTTGCCTTCGAACCACAACACCCAGAAAGCAGGAAACTTACCCCACCATTGGGGCTCAGACTTGGCCAATGACACCCACATTTAGTTGTCATTGGTTTGGGTTTTATTGTAGGGCGGTTCCTCCTTATTTAAAGGTTTTGGGTTTTTTTTGGCCAACTTCATTCATTCATTCAATTCATTCATTCATTCCTTATTATTATTATCATTCATTCGTTTGATTGATTGATTGATTGGCGTTGGAGGAGTGTCCCACAAATAATAATTCCTCCCAAACCCCAAAACAAGAATAATAAATCGGTCATTTTCAATCTACGACTGTTTGCGGGACATCGCTGTGCGCAATCGGCCGCCGCGTTCGCTCGCAAATATACAGTCGATTCACTTTACAGTGTGTGTTCTGTGAAGCGCTTTGGGACGTCCTCCCGACGTGAAAAGCGCTATATCAAATGCAAGGATTATTATTATTATTATTATTATAAACAGTCGTAGATTAAAAATTAATTATTGTTTTTGGTTTTGGAGGGATTATTATTAGGCTCTGTGTGGAGTAAGGAAACTTGCCCGAGGTTTCGCCCTCTGCCTGGAATTGAACTCAGGTCTCGCGCTCGCAAAGTGAGTGCTCTAACCACTGAGCTACAGGACTCCACAAAAGGAGGTATCTCAGATATATGTGTAACATTTCAAATGGGGTTAAATATATAAAACCTGAAAATATACCAAAGACAGTGGAACAACAGCACACCACGCTTTGGGACGTCTTCCCGACATGAAAGGTGCTCTATAAATGTAATTTTGTTGTTGTTGATAGCTGTAGAGTTGCAAAAGGGTCATTTAGGACAGACACCAGGAAGATTTTCTCTACCCCAGAGGAAATTAACGAACTGCAACAGATTCCCAGGAAGGGTGGTTGACCCCAGGACCCTGGATTCGTCTTAAAACAAAACTTGTTTCTGTGACAGTATGGTGGGTTTTCTGGAAGAATGAGATCAAATGGGTCAAAGGCCCTTATTCACCCAAACTGATCATATGAGGATTAAAATTGAAATTCCCTACTGTGTTTTAAGGCCAAAACAATCTTGTGATCTTTTCCCTTCCCCAAGCTCAAGTTCCAGTCAGTTTGTGTGAAGCACTTTGAGTTGATCTCCTGACAGGCATTATATAATTACGCAACTCTGAAAAGCACTAACTATTATATATAAATTGTCGTTTACATTGCCTGCTCTACTATTGGCCGGTGCACATTCATTCACCTAGCATTTCTGAGATAGCAATCAGTATTTGGGAGCGGCAAAGCGAGAACTTTTTGTGCAATAAGAGTTTTTTTTAAAAAGTTAGTTGGATGTCTGGGCAGTGGAGAAAATCATAACCCTGCTTAAGAATCTCCAGGCCAATCTACTGAAAAGTTTCACACACATATTTCTGTTTGTTCGGTATAGGGCTGAGCACTCTTCCCAGATGGCCACATCCTGCTTACTGGAGTTTATTAATTCTATCTGTTAGGCTTTTGGCTTACCAGCTTAACAGGAGCCTAATAGGAAGAATCCCAAAGCCCGGTCTACCCCTCCAACTCCCACCAATGAACCAGGCTTGCTGGCCAAATAATCCCTCCAAAACAAAAACAATAATAAATTGGTCATTTTCAATCTACGACTGTTTGTGGGACATTGCTGTGCGCAATTGGCTGCCGCGTTCGCCCACAAATATACAGTCAATTCACTTTACAGTGTGTTCTGTGAAGCGCTTTGGGACATCCTCCCGACGTGAAAAGCGCTATATCAAATGCAAGGATTATTATTATTATCAACAGTGCCTTAGAGTACCACAGACCTGCCTGGCTCAGCAACCAGATTACTGATTCCTCTGCGTCACCATTGATGGCTGAACCTTCAGCAACTAAGCTCCCACCCTTTGGAACTCCTTACCTTTACCCATCCTTCTCACCCCATCTCCTCCTGACTTTAAATCCTGCCTAAAAACCTGCCTCACCCACACCCACGATTAGTTGCCCCTCTGCCTTTTCCCTTGCTCAATGGATGTCCAGCCCTGTCCTTGTGAAATTTGAGACATTATCCTCCTACGTGAAGGTCAATATAAAACTTTCAAGTTGTTGTTTGCTAAGATCAGTGGATCAAATCGAATGCGATATTCCATCTTCAAGCGTGTTGTAAAGTGAAACACTATTCAAATATATTCACAGAACGATCTTTGTTCTAGTCGATCCAACATTCAAATCGGACGAAACAGATATGAAACCCAGTACATTAAGGAAGTAATCCTGGATACCGGTCAAAACAGGAGAAGAAACACTAAAAAGCAGTTTTAATTATCCGGGGCTTCAATAATCTTGACCAACTTTCAGGGTCTTTAAACCTCAACAAATTCTTTGGGATAGTTTCCAAACACAGTGACAGAGAAGCATCTCACAACGTATAGAGTCCCATCATAATGCGTCCCCTGCTGGATTTGAAAATCACTGCAAGATTAACACTACATTGTACTGTACTGTAATAAATAAACCCTCGCATTTCATGTAGCGCCTTACCACGTCGACAAGACATCTCAAAGTGCTTCACAGGATAGACTGTAAAGGTTTTATTTGTCAAACGCAAGATTTTAAATCCCGTATGACCTGTCGTCTCAAATTGTATTTAGAATTGTGCTGGAGTTTGCGCATAAACATAAAGCAATTTTCCATTAAAATCTTCTGCTCAGGTCAGTTGGAGCTCTCTCTCTCTCTCTCGTGATAGCTGCTGATTTAGAGTCTCTCACGGATCGTGGTGAGTTTCACATAAATATTTAGACCTGTATTTTTGTGGCTTTAATTTGAAACTGCTGGGCACAACAAATTATTCTGAGATCTATTCTGAGATAAATGTGGGGTACAGGTTTGAGCTTATTGAAGGGAAGGACAACAAAGGTGCAGATTTACTCACTTTGGCCAAACAGTATTGTGATCCTAGCTGAACAAGAGGCCGAAAGTTTGCCAGACCGTGTTTTCAATGGCAAGCTATGTGGTTTTAGATGGTTGGACTCCAGCTGTACCCCCAACGTACACTCTGGGATCCTTGGCTCTTGCTAACCAGCGGCTGATAATCTCCAGCATGAAGTCAGCAGAATGCTTCCCTCTGGGGAGAGAGAGTCACATTCCATTCCACATTTCCACGTATAGGAGGCATGCGTGGAATCCTCTGTTTGGTTTGGATAATCTTAAACATGGTGATGGGTTTTCACATTAGTCAGACACTCAGCTAACCAAAAAACCTGCTCCTATTGTTTTGCTGCTCTGATTCTAGTGAGTCCTACCAAGTAGATGATATGGCACAGGAGCTTCAGTGGGTTGGCTCTATAACAACCAGAGTTAGTAAAATACCCTGTAACTAATACCAGTCTTGACGTTAAAAGCTCATCAAAACTACTTTTACTAGTGAGAAGTGGAACCCTTCCCTTATTTGGGCCCATGGACTCAGGCTTGTAGGCACTACAAGATTTGTAGATTTAGGTGTGTATGGAGAGTGGCGGGGGTGGGGGAGTTGAACAAAGACGGTGGGGGGGGGGTTAAGGGGGCTTTGAGGGGAAAGGGGGGGTTGGAAGGAGGAAAGAGAGAGAAATTAAAGATGAAATGGACCTCACACAGTGCATGCTCCAGCTTCCTCTGACTGAAGACAAGACACTGGTGTTGAGTTTCCAAAAAGTATCATCCACCCAACACCCAAAATTGATGTCATTCTATTCAAGTTACTGAGTGAGTTA